CAACAAATGTCAAAACGGCCTGCCATAGCATATTACCGTACACCGGTGGTGTTTTTACTGGAAATCCCCTTCAAGGGCAGCCTCTGGCCCAGGGGCCTCTTGGCGGGTTTTCCCTGCCAGCTCCATGATCAGCTTCTCTGATTGGTAGATGTGGAGCGTCAAGCAGCAAAACTTAAATCCAACTCCAACAGCTGTTGTTTTTGCAGCGCATTCTGTGCATCAGATGCTCAGAAGCTAACGACACACTGCTCCTGCTGCTCAAAACGCACTGTAAGAACTTTTGATGCGCCTTGATGCATGTCAACCATTGACTTTGCATATAAACTAGAATGGTCTGAATACAGCATAAGGATATCGTGTAATGGTTTCTGCAGTCCTCCTCTGCTAACTGAACTATTGAAGGTCCCTCAACAATCACGACTAGAAGTATTTGAAAAAATATGGGAATGTGGTTCTGCACCAGAGGTCATTACTCACAACAACCATGTCAGTCAGGGTGCTGCAAATGTGATCGTAAAAAATGGCAATATGCCGTTATTTCAGGCTTTCTCTGTTGTCTTCTGAACTTATCAGTTATGTTTTTTAGCGTGACCTATGAGGCAACCTCCATACTACAGTTCCCATGATGCATTCCACATGACAGTAGCTACATATGGAGCAAAAGGCATAGGCTGACATTTTCAATGGAATCAATACAAATTAAACATATTCAAATATTTCCCCAATGGATGTATTATCTTCTGGATTTTAGCAGCTGCAAGTGAAACCCCCCTCCCCCATGTTCCCAGCTATAAGAGTCCCCCCACCATAAGAGTCAACATTTTTTGTGTTCCTGCATACAGCATGTCACACTCAGGTTACAGGACTAGGAGCTCAGCATACCAAAATGGAGAACTCCTCGCAGGCCAGAAGCTGTATGAGACGAGGGACAACTCCAGCCTTCACTACCACCTCAATCCTTTCATTGGAGCCGTCCGTCAGATATGACAGAGCCCAGCAGGTGTCGGCCAGGACCAGCCTGTTATCAATGTGGAGAAGTTTCCCCAGAGCAGGGAGCATCTGCTGCACGTCTTCCAGGGGAGGGGGATCCTTGTGTCGACACAGGCTGGCGAGTGTCCAGGCAATGTTTGCCAGGTAGGCACTCTGTTAGCATGGCACACATTAATATCAAATACTGGACAGATGGTAGAACAATGCAATGCTGAACAATTCCAACTGGCTGCAACACGAAAATTTATA